TGGGGCACGGGACACATGAAGACATGAGAAAGGAAGCAAGACACAATGGGTATGATGTGTAAAGACATGAGGGGCTTAAGAGACAAGAAGAGAAGATGGGCGACGGAACGACATGTGCACAAAAAGGCAAGAATACGGAGCGACAGAAGGAACGAAAGGCAAGAGTCGAAGAAAGGAAGGAAAAATAGACGGAAAGGCGGCAGAAGACAACAAGAAAAACCGAACGGCAAAGAGAGAGGAAACAGAGCGAGAGGACATGCATGAAGAGACAAGGAGCGCATGGAGACAGGGGCGAAGGCGTCGGGAGATGAAAGGGGACCCGGGAAGAAACAAATTCCAAGGATGAATATGAGCAAACAGTCTGCAGCCACATTACAGCATCAAATGCTGTATCCTCACGTAAGCTGTGACAGTAAGCTATGACAGGTGAATGCTATTTCAGAATCAAGAAATGCAGAGTCTTTTTGCCGACACTAACAACCACGGCTTCTGAGCAGCTTTTACTTGACAGCTTTTGGCTACCGTATATCGTGTCATCAACCTAGGTGAGCTGAGAATTGGTCCCAGAGAACTTTGAGACATGGAACTAGCTGGCGCTGCACGTTACGGTAGTGGCAGAAAGAGCGCACATAAGCTAACCACTCAAGAAACTCTGAAGTGTAACGGAACGAAATGCGAGCAAGGAAAATTAAGGCTGCACATCAAAACTTCTACTGCTGGTTTTTCAATTCTCTGAGGCCAGAGGGTTTCAAAATTAAAATCCCTGTATTTGGCAAACTTCAAAGCAGCAACAGATGCAGCGAAGCATACGCGTTGTCTTGCAAACTGAGTAGAACGCCGTAGAAGAAAGCGCACACTAGGAACGTATGCTGGGTAGTAAGAGTTGCAGCAGCTTGCCTAGACGGTTGGGTGCTTTCAATAAACAGCGCCTCAGATTTCCACACAACTGTTGGGAAGGGGTTTGACCGTTCTTAGGTTAAAATGCATTTCAGAAAGAGGCATGGGGCTGCAAAGTCTAAAATCTTGAGTCACAGAGCGCGTACAACGAATTCATTCAGTAACCAGCACCTTCATCAATTTCATATAAAAAAGCCCAGCGCGAAGTGAATTTAACAGCAATAAAACTAGATACTTCATGCAGGGCAAATAGATAAGGGCTACAAAGATATAATATGGAGCGAAATCTACGTTGAATTCTTGGCTGAAGCTCCTCCTCATCAGACACTGGCAGTAAGTTGCAGTAGAACTCAGAAGCCAGCCTCCAGACAAGTCAGGAGTGCCTTTCAACGAATTTTGTACAATCTCGACACCTCCAGTAGATGTTCTGGACATTGTTCGTCAACCTCAAGTCACAATGATCAAGGCGAGGGACAGAACAGCTCGGGCGACGCTAGGAACTGAAAGGGACGCCGCGCCTCTCTCCACTCCCTCCACTCCCCCGAGAGCATTGTAAATCTCAGTTCTGCAGGCCGCACGATACAATTTTCTTTATTGCGCCGAGCGACTCCTATCGTCCGAAGTATCATGCTCGTGTGTTGCAGCACACCGATAATTTCTTTAGCGCTGGTGCTGTTGACTGGTCATGCGCGTGGCTTAACTCTTACATGAAAGGTATGTCCCCACTTTGGAGCGGCTCTATGAAGTAGCAGAATAGGACATCATAGCCTTCTTGGCAGTCTTTGGTAGCGGCATAAGAGACCTTTGCGCTTTTTTCCGACAGTAAAAATGCGACATTTCTGGCTGCTGCACTATCAAACGGTGCTTCTTTAACATTATACTTGCTCGTTGACCGGTCAAAGTTCGACCTGCGGAGTGAAGGCGGCAGTAATCAGAGCAAAATAGCTCAAGGACAATAAAAACGTTTGGAAGATAGAGGACGAACGAGCAATGAGACAAGCACTACCTAGGGCCTCGCGCTGGAAACGCAGACCTGGAACAGCACTTGGCTAGAAGGAAAGGCAGGTGGGAGAGTGGGCTAGCTTGTGCATTCCATCAAGCAAGCACAGAACTCCGACCCGAGTACAAACTATGAGGTAGAGACACTGTGACATAGGCCAAAACCAATGAAATAAAACAGACAACGGACTGTTTGGGGTGGCGACGCCCCGTGGTGTGAGTTGCCTGGATCAAATCGTTGCAGTCGAAGTCCGTATTGTGTGCGAATGGAATTACGAGCCGGGATACTGTGAACCAAGAACAAAGCAACCGCTTCAGAGGCCCCTTGAATGAACAGAATAGAATGGCACCTTTAATTTGTCCTGCGGGAGCTTGCTACTTCAGCGTGAAGGCACTGCTAAATGAAGCTAGCGCTGCATTACAAGCGAGACTAAATGCCTAAAAATCACACATTTTCCGCATTCGCGCTTTTGCCCGAATTACAAGTTGATGCTTCGGCACCTGCAAGCTCCACTGCAATCGTTTGGGCCGTAAGGTTGTCCGCTTCACCCACTTGGATCTCCTCCAGGTTTTTAGACACCTCACTATCGTCCGCTCTAGTGAGGGGTTTCAGAAGGTCTGTAAGAATTTCCGTCCTTGGGGCGTTTATGATAGTCAGGCACGCTGAAGATAGCAAGGCGAAACATGCTGGACGGAAATGCCGCTATATCATTGCACTTGTTTTCAGTGGATTACCCAGTAACCCTTAGGAGTACACAGATGGGCCTCGGTTAGAGCGCCACCGAATGACATCTACCAAAAATAGGGCGCCTGCGATAAACTGCACTAATGTGTGTGCAAAGCTCAACAGGCAGAGTCTCCGTAGGTCCAAATATATGCACAGATATGTGGCTGGAGCTAGCGTGGTCTCATACACTTGCTCTCATTCGCAGTTCACCTTCAGTTTCGTCATCGGCTGTGGGTGCCGTCTGCAGCGAATTTTGGCTTGAAATGAATAAGTTTGTGCTGAGGCTGCTCTACTGAGAAGCAGCTATGGCAGAGCGAACGGAGAGCGCAGATGAGAAGTGGAGTGCGCTGGTGGTTGCGAGGACACCAGCGTAACAAGCCAATAAATTTACGTGAGCCATTAGGGGGCAGCAAGCCTCTTACGAATTAGATGAGAGCAGATGAAGCCGAACAAAAAAGCACGAAAGGAGAAAATTGTAAGAAAACAAAGAGTTGAAGTGTGCAGCACTTGATGGGGATGACCTTGGGTCGTGTCCACGGAGGTAGTTGGGGACCTCTACGACACCTCGATCCCAGCATCCAGTCACCCAAGAGCCTGTATCGGCTGTCCCGGCACAACCAGCAACCTCTAAGGAAAACTTTGCATTATCTCATTGCTTCGTGACATTGTATTGCTTTCACAGATATAAATGCATATATATGCATCGGCCGCTGTGACCAGCGGTCCAGGCACGTCATACACAAGCCATCCACAATAACATAACGGAAATCTGTAAAGGAATCATTCGTATGAATAACCATTAAAAATATAACAAGACTTTAAAATTTAGGTACTTCTAAACTTTTGATTCGAAGAAAATGCTACTCATGATAGCGGGACCCAATGGAGGTCACGACGGCATGGGGTGAGCGCATGGTGACCCGCTATTTCAGGGCTTTCACGATAAAAATTCTGGTATAAACTAAAATACCTGACTCAGAAGTTTCGAATAACACGGGCGTAGGGAGGCTGTATAGCCCAGAAAATTGCCACATTCCGTGCACCCGGAGGGCCATTTTACTGTGGACGTTTTACTGCGGCCGACTTCTCGATCAAACACACACAAACAAACTGAACCCCCACCAAAAAATTGACTGGGTTCACATATGCCTCGTTTCGTTGGAATAATTCATTAAGACATTCCCTTTATGCATTAACTCCAAGAAAAGACCAAAGCGGCTATTGGCTTCGCTGTTAGCATCCAACGGCTAAGGCGGCGACGTTTGCTTCTACGCACGTGAGTAAGGAGCTATTCAACTACAAAAGCCGTCTGACAAATTGACATTATTTAAGATAAGGTTACATGTAGCTGTGGAGCGACCAGATTCGTATCTTAGATTCCATTCGGCTGCCAAATGCAACTCTCAGTCAGCAAGCCTGTCTGCTGCCAAGAGTGGCACTGCTTGCTTCACCAAGCTCAACAGCCCCCTTAGATAGATAAGAGAGGCGTGCAAATCTCCACACGCGCACGTGAGGAATGTGGCGCCAGGTAGGGGAAATATTTCTTGCAGCCCTAACACTGGCTGAGTGATGAAAAGGGGAAGCTTTCAAAGTAATCCTCATGCACCCTTTGAAAATGTATGGTGCACTATGGTAACTTACCAGCAGCGTTGAAAGGCTAAGCTCCTCTCTGCTTCTCCTGAGGCCAGACAGCTGCTGGGAAACTTACTGCCTTTGAAGCAGTGTACCTTGCTGAAGACCAACCAGCTTTCCATTTTCGCTCGAACCATGAAGCTTAATTGCATCTCAAGTTTTAAAAGAGAGAAGAACACAAACATTGAAAACTTTGGCGGCATAATGCTCTACAACTTTACTGGAATTTCCGACTACCAGCAGCATTGCCCGGTGTGTACACGAGATTTTCAGCGCAGGAGTCGCAGCCGCTCTCCACGCCAATTGCATAATTTTTATAAACGGAGTCTAGGATATATACCATGATCCCTCGACGGGGCTTTGCCCGTTCTTCAGTCAAAATGCGTTTCAGAAGAAGCATTGGGAGGCGAAGTCTAGAGTGGTGGAACGACCGCAGCCAACTCAATGAGCGGCACTTCTAGTGTTTTCACGTGAAAGCATGCTAGGCTGGGTTAAAGCAACAGTAACGGAACTAGCTATTCCATGTAACGGAACTAGCTATTCCATGCAGTGTAAATAAAACAAGTGGGGCTTAGATGTGGCGTGGAGAGAAAGCTATGCCGCATTCTTGGCCGAAGCTCCTCACCAGCCACTCGCAGTACGTAGCAGTTGAGCTCAGAAGCCAGAGTCTATACGACTCATAAGTGGAGTCCAACGAAGTCTGCTTAACCTTGATATCTCCAGTAGCTTCTCTGCAGTTTGTACGTCAAGGTCGAGTCAGAAGAACCACGATGAGGGACAAAAGAGCGGTGGCAGCGCTGGGAACTGATGTTGACGCTGGGCCTGTCTCCATTTCCCAGAGAGCATCATAAAGCTCAGTTCTGCAAGCGACACGACATACTTACCATTATGGGACCTCGAGAGTCCCACTGTGCAGTGTGATGCTCTCGTGTTGGGGCGCAGTGGTAGCTGTTCTACCGTTTGTGCTAACGATTGATCATGTGGATGGTTTAACGCTTACGTGAAAGGCGCATCTCCAGTTTGTAGTGGCTCTATGAAGTAGCAGAATAAAATATTGTGGCCTCCTTTGCAGTCCTTGGTGGCAGCACATGATACCTTTGTGCTTTTGCTCGACATCAAAAATGCGACATTGCTGGCCGCCACGTCATTAAAGGGAGCTTCTGCAACATTGTATTTTCCTGTCGATGGGTCGAAGCTAGATCTGCGGAACGAAGGCGATAATGACTAAGGCAGAATAGTTTAAATACGAAAGTGCGCAGATAGAAACTGCAAGGCATAGGAACTGTACGACTGGATGGGCAAAAGTAGATCATACAAGCGACGGACTCCTTGAGGTGGCTAAGTCCAGCTGTATAGGTTGCTTCGATCAAAGCGCCGCAGTCAAATTTCGCGTCGTGCGAGAATGGAATAACAAGGCCGGGGTACTGCAGAGCAATACCAGAACACAAGCTTTTGAAGCCCCCTAAATAAGCATAAAATATTGAATTTTCTCCTTTCCCTTCAACTGCCCACCATTCTAGTCGGAAGTGACTGCTGAACGCACTTAGTGCTGCACTTCATTACTGATACCAGAAGCCATACCGTTTCTGCGTTTGCATTGGCTGCCGAGTCACAGGTAGTTGCATCCGTGCCCGCAAGCTTTGCTGCAATCGTTTTGGCAGTAGGATTGCCCTCTTCCTCTGGTTTTAACTTTTTCATGCTTTGCGTCACCTCTTCATCTTGGGCCTTGGTTAGGCCTTGTAATAGGTCTTTGACAGTCTCCGTCCTCACGGCGTTAATGATGGCCAGGCATTCTCAAAACAACAGCATAACACAAGCTTGATGCCAAAGCAGCCATGTCGAGACAGTTGCTTACATTCGACCGTCCAGTAACCATCTGATGAATATGTTTGCGGACTTGCATTGAAGTACCACTAAAGTGCCATCTACCAAAATGAATTGGGAGGAAATTGCACAGGAATGCAGTGTGGCCGTCATCATCTATGTGCATACCCTCAGTAGATCCACACATATCCGCAAATGAAACAAAGACTGGGGCTAGCTTAGCACGATTCACTTGTCGCTGTTATTTATGGTTCACCATCAGTTTTGTCGTCGGCTGTGGGCGCCGTCTGCTCAATCGACAGAAATAATGTCGAGCCAGCACGGCTCTCCTGAGAGACTGCTCTGGTAGAACGAAGGGAAAGCGCCAATGAGAAGTTCGGTGCGGCCAGGCTGGTGAGCAGGCCACCATAGCAAGCAAGCAAACCTACGCGGATCATTGTGGAAAAACAGGCTCGTTACAAAGCAAATAATGAATGATAAATCAGACAGAACGACCATGAAAATAGAAAAGGGAAGGGGAACAGAGAATTAAGGCCTGTAGGATTCTATTGGAAGAGTGTCAAGCACACACAGAATAATAACTAATGTTATGTGTGCCTGACAAAGAGTGGATCGTTGTTCTTTCATTGGAGACCCTACGATGACTCGACCCCAGCATCAAGTCACCCAAGACTCTTTCAGATAGCCTCAAGGGCTATAAAAAGCGTTTTAGTGCTTTATTACTTTTGTGATGGCGTACTTCTTTCTACAGGATATCTATGTGCACTGCTGTGCATATTCCAAGGAGTCACAAGTCAAAACCTTCAGTGACTCTGCCGTGAGTGCACGAGGCAGGGTAGGGCGAAAAAACTTCGTAGGTGGGAAAATTCTGATTACAACATATTACAAATTCAAATTCTGGATTATAGAAGTGTAATTCGAAGCTAATGCGGGGAAATAAGATTGTACTCGTGACAGTTATGGCGTTGCGCGAGGCCACAAGTGTTGTGTGTTGCGTGAGCAGACGGTGGCCGGCAGCCTTACAAACTTCCCGTGGAAAAGCTTGCCAATGGAGATGGGCCATACAGCGCATCTTTGTTTAAAGCACAGGAAGCCAGGGTATGGAACTCACAGAATGGCCACGCTCAACGCACACTTGCGTGCTTGAGAGGTTGGGTTACTCTTGCTGCTGCTTCATCGAGCTGCCTTCTGAGTTAAAGGATCTCGGGACTTTTCTCCATCAATAGTTCCCCTCTAGCAATAAGATGCATGCGTGTTTTTCAATGAGTTCGAACGGGACCATTCCTTACGGGCTTTTGTTCTACTTAGGCACCAGCTGGCCCTCGCCCGTAGCTGAAGTATCACCCAGCCCAGCCACTCGTAACGCCACTGGATGGTGAGCTGTTCAAGGGAGCTGGTTAAAAAGCCCATATTATTTTCTCAAAGCCAGATGCAAGCTTTGCAGATCCAGTAGTACTGAGGTCACTTGACTCGCAGATGACTCGTTAAGTATTTTGGCGCTGAATGCTCGCAATTATGATGATGGTAGTACTAATCGCTCAATGGTGGAGCAATAATTCCGGCTGCAGTGTGAATGCACTTAGACTTAAATGGCTAGTGGCTCTGCCTTGAACGCCCAGGATAGATGGATAGAAGCCCAGATTCGCGCATATATTATTTTTCCCAGTGCTGCCTCCAACATTTGTCAGACAAATATCACCAAAGGAAATGTTATATGCAGAGGACAACCGCGTCTCTTCGCATTCCAGACTCTATACATCTGTGCAAGCAACGGCCCCTTAACTTGCGTGCTACCAGAAACACTGGGCCAAGCACAGCAGTGCTTGTCTCCCCGTACTCACCTGCTGCCCAGGTAAATTAAAGCCCTTCAGCGCAAATTACAGCAGGTGCCAAGAGAGGCGAAACAAAAGTTAGGATGACAACTTCGGCCGAAGGTCAATAGAATCTATGCATTTCTTGATGCTACGTGCCGTGAACGGGGCAGCAGGTTCCCCTACCACGATGTTCGCCTTCCACCCTTCGCAATATGGAAACGGTCAGATCATCTTTGCTAAACTATGGAGCCACAGCGCCAGGAAAAAGCTCGCTGCTATTCGGAAGCAGAGGCCAAAAATGCTACGTATTAAGGATATATTGCGCTGAGCTTTCGGGCCTTGAATTTCTTATTACGAGGTGAAATTGTAGTGCCACTAGGCTGCATGACGCTTGCATGTGTCAACCCGCAAAAAACGAAATACTGTAATGGCTAATTTATGCGCGAGCACATCATTTAGCACTTGAATAATCATGTATGTGGAATAACATATGTGTGTAGTAATACCTGCGCATGAGTGCATACAGCGATAACGTAGATACAATCACTTGTTTCTACTGATTCATGCCTGTTGTTTGTGTTCAGTTACCCAACCGTACAGCAGAGCTGAGTGTGACGTGCAGGGAAAGCTCAATTCGTGTAACTGCTACTACTCTGACTGCCAACAAGAAGATTCTTGAAGCTGCTTTGCGCCGCACCACTTTCGGTGCAGCTGCTTGTGATTGGGTCCCGCAACTTCCCTGGATTGCTTTGTATCTATTTCGTGCTTGAGAAGTGTGCTACAGCTTTATTGAGCCACGAGTACCAAGTCTACTCCATATAATGAATAAATGCGAAGCTATTAGGCTGCCTACAGCCCTGATATTGATACAACGGAAGGAAAAATACGAACAGAAAAAAGACAGGAGACGGAGGGGGACATCAAGCACAAAGGGACAGGGGCTCAAAGGAGACAAGGGGCAATCGGAAGGCAAAAAAGGACCAGAAAAAAAAGACATTCGAAATTGCGTTGAACGAGTTGAGGAATAAGTGCGGAAAAAACTGCAGCTATGCTGCGAAGTAAAGTGCCGTACGCTCGCTTGAGCTGTGGTAAACAAACGATACTTAAAAAGTGGGGAGATGCACAGCCTTTTTGCCCACACCAACGGTTGTGACTTCTCTGCAGCTTTTACTGAATTGCTTTAGATTACCATAGATCACTCATGCAGCCTAGATGAATTCGATATTATTCATAGAAAGCTCTGAGAGAAAAGGAATGAACTGGCGCTGCACATATGGTCGCGGCAGCAAGAGAGCTTAAAAGGTTATTAATCAGGGAATCTCTGGACTGAATTGTGTCAAAGCGGAACAAGAGCTAGGAAAGTTATGGCTGCAGGCGAAAATTCACAGGTTTTTCTTCAGCTCCGTCATGTCAGTGAATTTCAAATTTAAATCTTCAAAGAAGCCTTGTCTTTGCCGAACATGAGCAACGGATACAGCCAGGCATGCTTTTTGTCTCTCTACGGAGTAGCACGCCTTTATAAAAAACGCAGAAGAGTAACGCATGTCTACAGCTAGTCAAATAATCACTGGAGATCCTTTCGTTAGGATTTTATCAAATATGCTATACTTCGATCAGCGCTCTTCGGGGTTAACACGAGAAATAAAAGAGTAGCCGTAATGTCAGGAACTGTTCTGGACGCTGAACTCTGCTGTCGTTTCAGAACCGCTTCATACACTTCAGCCCTGCAAAACGTTAGCACACAGTTCTCTGCCTTCACTTTCATGCCCATGTATGGTTCTGATCTCAGTGCGTACAATCTCACAATGTTGCGTTATATGAAGGCAAGAACGCAACGGGGTTTTTCTGTTAAAAATAAGAGCTGCTCATGCTATTGACGTAGCAGAAGAAGACCTCACTACCGGGTGCACAGTCTATAGTGTCAGTACATGTCACTTTTTCCGTTTCAGGATACTATGGCCGCAAGATGTTTTGCCGTTGGAAGGTCCACTGGAGCCGCGCCAAATTAATTGGTTTCAGCTGTAGCTCGTGCTGTGCACAAATCAGCAATGGCAAAATCACAGGAGCTGGAACAATAGTGCGGCCAAATAGCAGACTTGATTAAAACACAGATATGATGTTTAAAGATGGTTGCACAGGATATGCGGGGCAAAAGAAAACAAAGTGACTCTGCGTCGTCCTCCATGAAGACGCGTGGATGAACACCTCATCTTTGCGTGTAGTTCCTAGAAGCATGAAGCATTTGTTGGAGACGAGAAAACAGCAGCAAACGGACTGTTGGAAATAGCCCCGTCACGCAGTTGAAAATTCCTTGAAGAGCGTCTCGAAGCTTAACATCCTCGAGTGTGCAAACTTAATTACCAGTATCGAATACTGTACATAAACAACAGCACATTGTCAACTGCCGTGGATGGGGCAGTGCGTTTTGCGTTACTGCTTTGTGCCACCAGGTTTCTTCTTCGAAGCTGGGGAGGCCAAGAGCGGCCGCGGGACCATGCTGCAGCCCATGTAGCATACCCTTCAGCTCATCGAGGAACAGTGAGAGACTGCATTATACTCGTCTCAAAATAATATAAAGCGGATGTAAGTGTTTCTGGAGGCAGGTGTTTTGGGCTGTTTATGAGCTAACAAAGCACATCCGCACCATTAGGGTTGGATTGGACTGGGGACGCTGAATTGCATGGTGCAGGTAAGCTGCATTCGCATCCATTTATAAAAGCTGACCTAGCAAGTAGGCCGAAATTTGCCGACAGCTGGCAGCGGCCAATGCACTTAGCAGCTCAAGTTTCGAGGTCACTCATCAAAACCGTCTGCACGCACGGAATGCCGTTACGTTTCCCGTCCGCGAGGGCGCGACTGAAGAGAGTTGTTCACAAGTTATAGTCCAGTTTGCTGCTTCTGTACGCAGGATTGTGTGTCGGGATACTGGCCGTCACTCAGCACACTGAAGCGTGCACCGACTAGAGAGCTGCGCTGTTAACAACGGCGGCCTCAATTCCAATTTCCATATTTTGAACTATTCATCAACATTTGCTGCATCTGATATTGCCTATACATGCCTTTTTTGGAAGTGATCATAAATTTACGGCAATATATACAACGCTGCATTCATGGGCAAAGATAACGTTTGAATTGAAGTTTTGGACTGCACAGTCGGAAAGGCCCTAGCATGAATTTCCTAGCACGACCAACTAAGGACGAGAAGAATATGCAAATAAACTGCATCGCGGGATGCCGGGCCCCCAGAGCAGTTTACTGCGAGGAAGAGTCAGTTGGAGTCCATATCTCGCACATAGGCTAGACTGCCGCAGCATTTGAGTATTTCCAATAGACTAGAGCGCAAGCCTGGTAATTCCTGGCAAAATAGAATGAGCTAAAATTTGACTTGGAACCAGGCGGATGTCTGGACTGCGGCACTTACAAGCACTGCGAAACTGTTACTGGAGCAGGGGTTCAACGCACAAGAAATCTCATGAATGAATTGTCTCTGAGCAAAATACAGACTAGGGAAATTATGGATGCATATAAGACACCACAGCTCTCTTTTACTTCTCCCAGATCATGGGGTTTCAGAGTTAAATTTTCAAAGCGCCCGTGTGTTTGGTGAGCTTCAGCAAAAGATA